TAAGCGGCTGGTTTTTCGCTTTTCAACATCAGATTGAAGATAGTTTTATAGCTTGACTATGAACGGCGCGAAAATGTTCTACCCAATGTGGACGGAGTTACATAGCCGTATTAGTTTTGCGGTGTTTCCAAAACTAGGCATGGAGTCTTAGAAGCAGCTTCTCGTCCTGCTGTCGAAAGCGGCTCTAAGGTCAAAGAAAAGGCGATGCGTTTTAATTTTCTCTTCTAAAGTCTTTTTTTGTTTTGACAAATTGTAAAAGGCTTTCAGTCTTTCGCACAGTATTTTGGAGCAAGTTTATCCACCCATATGTAGATGGAGACACATTTAGGTCCGAAGGCCCGTTTTTTCACACACTGTTGTCGACAGGACCTTGTGTGACATGTTAAGATGTCTAGTCCCGCGTTAATTGGATTGTGCAAAGCACACTGACATTCGAATCCCCGTGCACGTATTCATCAGACTAAACTGCGATTAACAGCTTGTAAACTTTCAACATCTCAGTCGGTATTCCTTCAGTTCCAGGAGCATTGTTGTTTATAATCAGCATTTTTACTGTTCTAACCCCGTCGTTGTCTGGTGGAGGGAAATGAGCTTCGTTCCCACGCATTGGGCTGGGTTTATCTTCGGCAGGCGTTCCAACTGTATTGTTTGCATCGACTACTGATTATTTTATGATTATATTTATTGATAGTTGTACTTTTTTGTTGGCGTAAACTTGTTTTCCTTCACCACTCACATGTTCTGAAATAATTCCCGGTTGGCAGTTTGCCTTGAGCTATGATTTGGGACCCACTGGGCATCTTGAAAATCTGATGTTTGGGAAGAAAAATTGTATACTATTTCTGGCAATTATTCAGATGAATAATAACTCAATTGTAGAAAATAAAATTAATCCCAAATCACTTCCACACAGGCGGTGTGAAAAGATTATTCACCTTTTCATCAAATTCACCTTAGTTTAGAACTCTCTTTCTGGTCCCACTGAGCAGTTTAAAAATCAGATAAGTACCACGTGCAGCAGATTCTTTTCCTTCTTTCTGCAACCGAGAAACGAACTTATTCTTAGTAAAAACCGAAATATTTCAAAAGGATAGATAGATTTTTCTATCATAAATACCTTCCATTCTAAGTGCAGTACAAAATAAGCAAAATTTAAATTTTATGTGTTATGTTGGTCATAGTTTCAATGAAAACCCGAATACTCCTGTTTAATGTAAATAGTGCAACAATGAAGTAACCAATTGAAAGTAAAACTCAATGCAACACAAAAACCACATCCATTGTTCAAGTCATCAAAAATTCCATATTTGTTCATTCCAAAGGTTTCAGCTTTTAGCAGAAAGCATTACATTTAAAAAGAATAATTTTGCTTTGTGTGCGGTAATGCAATGTATAGTTAATAAACTTTTAATTAAGATGCACTTTTTATTATTTAAGTTTCGAACTTTATGCAGTCAAGAGACAACATTCATCATGCATTCTCTTTTTGCAGAAATAGTGTAGCTTAAATGTATGTAAAAGCTCTGCGATGAAGCAGAACGAGATACGTTTTCTGATTATTTTCAAAGTGAACATAGTTTTCCTGGCAGGTAAACTCGGAATGCTTCCTGCGTTTTAAGTTGCTTTCAGTTTTGACTGAGTTGTAGTGTTAATAAAGTTTGCACGTCAAATCGAGGTGTGTGACAGATTTATATGTATGGTTGCACATGTAAGCATTCAACAAATGCATATACAAACATATAGTATATACTTATATATGTACATAAATGTTTGTTTAACTACCTGTAAAAAGTTCTACTATTCCAATGACGATAGCAACTTCAACCGAGCGAACTTTATTCCGTCACGTTTATTTATTTACATATAAAACTCCGTAAAATGTTATGGCTTGCAACGCATGTATTCTAAATTAAAACTAGAAGTATACCCGAAGGCATTCCGGGTGTGCATGTAAATAATTAAGACCAAGTTTTCTCTTATTACACTGATGACACACTATTTACAACGGAATTTGTATAAATATTGCAGCCTACTAAAATATAAAAACACGTATTTTAAAATTGATTACAAAATAATAAACCCTAAAGATCTATTTTAGAATATTATCGTCAGCAGAACTTCTGGTTCATGACATATTTGCGCTCATGCGGTTGCGACGAAATTTTTGCGAGTTATTTCCAGTAATAATTCAAAATATTTTTGGACTCGCGATATCTAGAGTCCGACCGATTAATCGGCCGATGGCGGGGCTAGTATAGGCCAAAAGAATCGGCATCGGTCGTTTTTGGTCGATTCTGAAATCAGGTTATGTTATTTAGTTATTTGACTATGTTTTTCTTTTGTTATTATAAAAGTTTA